GCCCGAGATTCACAGAATTTACAGAAAATGTTACATTTTTGTGATTTATATCGTTATCGGACGATAGATGTCTTATATTGGGATATGAGATTTTGGTCATATGGCACAGCCCTACAAGTAGCCCAAACACAATCATTGCAAAGAATGAATGTTTGTGTTACTTTTTTAAGTCAAAAAAAAAAAAAAAATCTGCATTAATAAACTGACTTATTATAAAAAAAAAAAAATGTACAGACTTTTTTTGTCACATTGTGCTCACTTTCACACAAGGTACCAACAGCAAAGTGCCTTTGCGATTTATTAAATGAATCCTAGCATTAATTTGGTGAATATGTTGATATCACAATATCAAATATTCACAATCAAATACTCAAATCCCAAACTGTCAGTCTTTGGGGAAAAGATAATTACCCTTCAGCATCACTGTAAGTCTGAAACCGGGGTAACAAATACAGCGTGTGTACCAAAGATTGTCTCAGAAACCTTTTAAATACAATTTATTACTTGTTCTAAAAACTACTGTTGAGTAAACAAATCAGTACCTAACATGTTAACGGTTCAGTGTAGTGCATTGTTATCACCGTGTGTTTCAAAAAAACCCTCAATAAGAAAAAAATGTCTATGCTCTAGTAATGCAAAACAATAATATTTACATCCTATGTAAAAAGTAAAAACAAAATCAGCACTGCTCTTCTCATGAACAAAAAATGACTGTAGTTTACAGCATTTGGAGAGGTAATAGAACTATTAATGAGTATTATGTAATAACGAAGTTGTGGTTACCATCCTAGCTACAGGTCTACAGGTCAGAAACTACTTAATGCCCCTTAACACTGAGATAATAGATCAAACTGTTTCTACAGTACCTTTAGAGATCAATTTATTATTAGCTTTCACCTGCAAATAGCTGCTTTTGTACCAGTGCCTGGTGCAGCTGAGCTCTGCTGTTCCCTAAAGTTTAGGACGTCTTGGTAGTACTATCTCCTGTTGTAGAGGTCTTTGCGTTTTCGCAGTTCCTCCAGCACCCTTGCCCTAAA